TTTTTATTCCTATAGACCCACTCTAATTTAATACATGTACATTTTATATTCATATTTAAAATAAATATATAGTCATATAGAAGGGAATTTTATAATTATTTTTTGAATTGCATATTTTGTTTGATCAATAATAATAGTAATGCTGGTTGACATAGTTAAAAATTATAATGCATTCAACTCATATACGTATTATAGTACCTTGTACATAAATTATGCGATCAAAATATTTATTGTTATTATAATATAATTAAGTATAATGTATGTAATTCAAAATCAAGAAACCAAATTAAGTGTAACTGTAATATTTTTATTTTCAGATAAACTTACAACTCCATTTGAATATCATATTTTTTGTACTCGGAAATAAATCATATTATTATTTATCTTAGCTACATGATAATTATGTAAATGCAGCTGTTATATTTATACATAGTATATTATATATTATGACAGAAAAGTTCCTGTGAAGCTACTGACTTATTGTCACCACTCACCGTACTTTTATGAGCACTGTTACTGTATTATTATTTATTATTTTGTTGGAATATTATGTAATAGTGTATTTTCACAATTTGAAATAAATTATTGCCTTTCAATTCCTTCATTTTTGTTTTCAGTTATAACTCTATATTATTTTCTACAGTCGGCTTCTCATTGCACGGTGATTCAACCGTACATGTCCGGGTTAATACAAATTATTAGCGATCGTCCTGGAGCGTTCGATGATTAATGACAACAACGGCGTCGAAATATGCGTCTGCTCTTATCAGGTTGCCTATCACACAATAGTTGTTATAATTTGAAAAAAAAACTTATTGCATAGGAGTCTGCAATGAAGTACCACATTTTACGTCTTTGCTGTCCTTGCTATCATATGTAGCACATACCTAGGTAATATTTATACTAGTGAAGTATCGATAGTTTTCTTTCCATGACAAATTTTTTTGTAGCGGTTTCGTAACACTTTATGTAACGTAATCTTTTTTCGATGCTATGTCCCAAAGCAATGACATGAAATGTCAAAATAAAAAATGATGTTGCTATTGGTACAACTGAGTGTTCAAACATTTTGAAATTGTCTTTTCAAAATAAAGAAACAAGTATTTTTTTATTTTTTGAAATCCCATTTCATCGAATCCGGACTAGTCGACACAGACCGGTTCGCCGTCGGACTATGCGCCGAAGCCATTTCGCTGAACCTCCCACGACATATCATTAGAGATTGATATTATACAACAATACTAAGGAATTTTTCAATAACTTTGATATGTTCCTCAATTTAAAATTAGGAGCTAGAGGGCTAGAACAAAATGTTTTATAGCAAATATTTTTTAATTAGATTATTATTTATTATTTCTAATGGTGTTTACGACTGACTTTAATTATTATTCGTTTATATGAAACATTATACTATTTTATATTGTAGGCAAAAATAAAGTTAATACTAATATGTTTATAAGCGCATGCAATTACCCAAAAATTCTGGGAGGCTGAAGCACACCCATGACCCCCCTCCGTTAGTTACGACTATGATTTGTGCGTAATATGAACAAAGTCCAGCAAAACAACAATTTTAGGAAAATTTTCATTCAACATATGTTGTATGTGCGGTCTACGTTTACGGCTTAATATTATATGATAGGAATTATGAAAATATGATAGATTTAATATTCTTTTTTAATAAACACATCTTTATAAAAACGATTTTATTTTCAATATGAAAAAATTATTTTGGAATACCTATTATTTTCTAGGTAATAAAAATGAATTATCTAAATGAAATCTAAACTATCACTGTTAAACCATTGAAATCATTGATTATAACATATTTATTTAGGTATTAATTAGGGAATTGATTAATGTATGGTGTCATAGAAGGCTTCACGTAATACCAACATACATCATAGGTAAGTCGTAGGTAAGTTTTTATGATTTATATTTGTTGACGAGGCCCATTGACCGTAGCGACGTGGCATTATATACGTATATACATCATTGTATGCTTATAAATTATAAGTAAATAAACAACTAAAAACACGAAAAAGTTAAAGTGAAAGTTGATGTCAACAGTTAAAATAATCGCGTCGAATTTGAAACTACTATTTTTTCGAATTAATAATATTGTAATGAAACAATTTAAGATATAATGTATAGATTACTAAACAAAGCTTTTTATTTGATGCCCAGTGTATGTCTTCGTAGCAATATCCTATGTTTTTTTTACAAGTTTAAGATGGATATCATTGTTCAATAAAGCTGATAAGTCCATAAATCCAGTTAGAGGTTCCGACACTAACAAAAAAGTTAGATGCAGACTGATGGTTCGGGAAAATGAGGACAATCATATCTAAAAATGTCGGCATCTCTTCCCCCAATGTGTTGTGAATGTGTACTTGAAAGTTGAAACTGAGCGATTACGGGACATAATACCAACACAACTATTTCAACTATTTATAAAGGCTCAAGAAAAAAAAAACTAAGAATGTTGTTTATCATAAAGCATTAGAATAATAAACACTTTTTTTATAATATTTGTTTTATTAATTATACCAATATGAATTCAACATTCATAATTAAGACAGGACAACGTCTGTCGGATCAGCTAGTTAATACTTATATTATCATACTGATCTGGTTTAGCCGTGGGGTCCGTGTTTAATTACTATTATATACATAATATTGTTGGGCCATCTTTGATATTATTTTTATATTATTTGTGTATTATTTAATGTTGTATTGTGTGTTATTTAAATTTGTATAATAGTACAACAAGTTCACCAGTATTAGAAAAATTATTACCGTGTTATTGAATTATCCTCCTACCATTAGTTTTTAGCCTACACACATTTATGCACACCCACATACCCTCCACACACTAGCGCTCTCGAGTTTTGCTCGGTGGACGGCGATCCTGTCCACCTCATATGAGTAGCTATACATAGTACATACACACAAATACACATATTTGTCGGTTAATAGGGGTGTAAAATGAAGAACTTTTTTAACCGGGCCTATCATGCATCGTACCCAGGCCGCAAACAAAAGTTATTTCAAAGTTCTTAGCATTGTTGTATGTCAATCTTTAAAAATATATCTTGGGGAGGTTCTCTAAGGGGTGTATAGTTCGGTGGCGAAAAAGTACGTGACGAATCGGTCTGCAGAGAAACGGCCGCGGCGAAATGTCCTAGCTCCCCATTTCAAAAATCCATAATTGATGAAAACCCTCGTGTACAACGACATACGATATGTATAGTATACATATACCGAGAACAATGATTTTAATTATGCAATGCAATTATATACTATGTTATATGATATCTTATTTTCAAATTTTAAACTATTGCTCAAAAAAATATTTTTTGTATTCTGATGAAAAATATGTCGACATAAGTAAAAATACGCTCTGCTTGCATATGTAAAATATATATTTCACACACGTGTTGTAATTCTACAAATAATTTAACTAAAAATAAAGACTCAGATGTATGCTTAGCTGTTTTTATTTTTCTACAATATTCCGCAGTTGTTTCATTGTTGTAATATACAATTTAAAGTACTTACAGAAATGCATTGATGCAAAAAATTTATATTTTTTTAAATGTCTGATAGAACTTAGTCTATCAAAATATCATCCACATTGGTATTCATATAATGTGTATTTAAAATGTATAAAATATATCAAATTTAAATTTATGAACCTGACATTTTGAAATTACTAATAACCAAATTACGAGTATACAATCTTTAAAAGAAGATTACATATTTATAGTAAATATTCATTTTTAATTTTAAATTAATTAATCACCAGTGATTGGTTGTCAAAAAAATCAAAACCAATAAATGAAACGACCCTGAAAACAATATTGATATAATATAGGTTCATATTATGATGTTTACATTAAAAGAGTGTTTGAAATATAAATGAATAGATTAAATATTTTTTTTAATCACTGTTGGGTGCAATTCGGTGACTTCGAGGCATTTCATATTTGCGCCTGTGGTTGTTGGATGTATGATGTGAATGTGAAGTATTGGCTACAATACCAATTGTAGCCAATGCCGTTTTAAGGCCCTGCGCTAAAAATACAAAGTATTTTAAAATGCAACGATTTATGTATTATATTACAGATATAGTTTAAATTTAAAATTTGACAAGGTTTTACTGTTAATTAATAATTATTTTCAACTTAGTATGAAATACTTATACAACAGCGTACATCATAGACCATGGTAATATAAGCGAATAGCATTCTATATAGTATACTGAAGAGAGAACAGATGAATATCAGGTGCAATTATAATTTAATATATAACAAAAATATAAGTTTATGCAATAAACCTTGTTTTACATTTTTAACACTTATAGCAACGAAAATTACAAATGTATACTTATATTTATTACCAAAATCATAAATGTCTTAAAAAAATATGAAATATTAGTAATTACGAAGATGTAAAAGAAAAAATTCGATGAAAGGTCGGTTGTCCTTTTCTTTAGGATAGAAGTTAATATTTGACATATTATAAAGACCAAACCATATCATAAATATAAGAATAATTAAATATTATATACGCTATTGAAAAATGCTTATTCTAAGGTGTCGGTCGATACATAATCTTTTAGGTTTCATGTAGACAACAAAACGTTACCCACACAGCAATGATATGTTTATACAATGATAAATAAATATTTCAAAAAAATATTTAATGATTAATAAATTATAAGATTTTTATTGATAATACATTTTTATATATTATCTAATTCCTAATAAATATTGATTGAACCCTTTGGTTAATTATTAATCAAAATCAAAAATAAATATTTAATAAATATAAATTATTACTAATAAATTTATATTTATTTGTGATTTTGCAATGGTTAATAAATGTACCATCAAACTTAACTTACATTGAATACCAGGAAAACAAATGTTAAATAAATATAAAATAAACAACTGATATTAATATTAATTAAACATTTTATTCTTATTAATGCCAAACAATAAAAATGGAGTAATTAATTTAGTTATTTTTTTCAATTTGCCTCTTCAGGTTAAATGGAGCTTGAGCAAGTACATATTTAATAATGTCTTCCATTTCATTTTGAGTACCGTGTTTAAACTTTTCTTGAGTTTTTATGGCATCTAAAAATTAAATAAGAAAAAATGTAAAAAATAAATATAGCTAAGTATATTCATTATAAATAGTACCTAAACAACTAGAACATACACAGTAACTTATTTTTGCAGATTAGGAGCAAAGATTTTTTATGAAATTATCCAATCCTGATACTAGATTTATAAAACCTGTTATTACATGGCATTTACAACACTAGAATGTTTGTTTGTATGAATGTTATTGTATAGTATATTATACATTTTATTAGTTAAAATTAATATTTATATAAATATACAAACAATTTTTTATTTATAAATTATTTAATTTTTATTTCAAGTTTCATTATTGTCTTACAAATCTTACTAAATTAATAATCATGGTGCACCCACCCCTAAATTTTGAAAGACCATTACTTAAAAATGATGCATTCCCCACACCGTTGCCTACTACATAATAAAATCAATGTTTATATTGTATATATATATATGTATATAGTCATAATATATCTTACCAAATATTACGGAACAAGTTGCTAAATTTGAAAATTTCTGTTTTCCTTTCTTCCCAGTATATGAGAAGTCTTTCAATAACTCATCTTTAAATAACTTAGCCATAAGCCTTTTTACCATAGATTTAACATTTTTTCCACCAATATAAGATAATTCATTCACCTAAAAAATGCGTAAATATATTATAATAATTATTTTATATGTTATAAACCCTATAAAGGCAAAACTTTAAAATTTAAAAACCTAGGATCAATCACCATCATCTCCCTCATGATACAGCTAATATTTACAATATACATACAACTCATCCTTTATACCAGTGTATCTCAATCTGTGGTAAGGCGTACCTCTAGGGGGAACTCAAAAATTTTTAAGGGGTACAAATCTGGCCAACATGTATGTAAGTCTTTAAATTTTTTTATATATATTTTAGTTTNTATATATAAAACAGATGTATTTATATTCTTGGTAAACGGCTATTCTACTTCATAGTAAGTACCGTTTCAATTGGCGCCCAACAAGAGGATCTTAACACGACTTGAAGACAGCACGGAAAATCTCCCAACGGTCCACGATGGTTGGCCGAAGGAAGGGAAATCAATCTGAACCTGTGGACAACCTAATACCAACTATGGAACAATTCAGGCAGCTAGAGCGAACGATGAACCTAGCAAATACAAAAATTACGGAATTACATCAAGACAATATAGAGCTACGCAAAACTATTGATGAATTAAAGGCGACATCTGAACAGCAGTGTGAAATATTGCGACAACTTATCAACGACGCAGAATCAAAATTTATAGTTGAAACAGCAAGACAGGACAGACTGATTAAAAACATTACCGAATCACCAGAAAGAGTTAGGGACGTAATTCACCGACCACAACCAGTGGAAATTAACATGCCGACATTCAGTGGAGAAAGACCATCGGACCATCCGAAGAAGTTTCTAAAAGAAATCAACACGTACTTTACACACAAAAAAATTGCCGATGAAGATAAAATATTGGTAATCGAGAACTGTCTACAAGGAAAGGCAGCTAAGTGGTTTGGTATGATCAAAGATGCCACACCGAATGAAGAAACATTCAAGGGGCTATTCTTAAAACATTTCTTTTCGGAAAACACTCAATGGGAAATTTTTATAAAATGTACCGAGGCCGGCAAACGCCCAATTCGAACTAATTACCAAGAACATTTTCATTATTGGATGTCCGAACTCAGATTTTTAGACTCACCAAAACTAAACGAAGATCAGGCAATAAACCTCATTGCAAAACACTTCCCAATCGCCATTCAAGCTTACATTCAAACAACCCAAGAAAGAAAATTTATAGATATCTGGGAAAAACTTGGCGAGCTAGAAAACAACGACAGGTCGGATCGACAAAATATAAAGACCGGAGGGTCAGGATGGAGGAGACCCAATAATGACCAAATACCGATTGCCCAGATCAATAACAGACAACCGAATTATTTACAGCCAGAAAAGAAGGCAATGATCAAAACAATTTGTATTGACGATGAATTAACCGATGGTGAGGTTGAAGGGTCACTTAATCAAGATGAATCAAAAAACGAATACAGGGAGACTTTGGAAACGGAAGACCAATAGTCAAACATCCCGACACTTCCAAAAAACAAATAAAACGAATTTCGTATAGAAAACAACACAATAAGTCCCAACCACACGATAAAAAGAGTAACGAAACGTCAATAATCACTGCAAGTGAACTGACAAGAGATGAAAACTATGAGATACAACTAAGCAATGAAAAAAACGGTTGTCCTTACATAAACGTAAAAATACACGAACAACAATATGAGATGTTAGTGGACTCGGGAGCCGAAATTAGTGCAATATCCACTGATTATGAAGCGGCGATATTGAAAACTGATAGATCAATACCAACCCTTCCACTGACGGGAATGATAATCCATAACGCGACCGGGGACAAGGCAATAAAAGTAAATAGACAATTACTAATTCCAATGTCAGTCAATAACAAAATAATACAAACCTCGTTCATTACAGTGCCATCACTGAATGAGGGAGGAATAATCGGTAACGATTTTCTTGAGGCATACAACGCTAAAATTGACTTTGGGAAGAAAACGGTGACAATTATAATCGAACAAGAAGAAATGAGAATACCATTTGTGAACAAACTTAACGGCGCACCTATGCATTTGAAGACAATACAATCACAAGTGTCAAAAGAACCTATTTGTCCGAGGATGATTAATACACATTCACCTTCGGAACAAAATTATTGGCTGCAACTTGTTTGCGCACAATCCATAATTTTTACCTGAAAAATCGGAACTCGTTTGCGCACACGGTTATATTAAATGTACAACTGGTTTGCGCACACGAAAATAATACATGCCTGTATCGGCTAGTCGCGCGGTATAAAACCCGGTGTATGTTATCGGCCTTATCGTGGTTTACGACTATCATAAACCATAGTGTTATACAAACGATATAATATAGACCTAACGGCTAACACAGTACGTCTCGAGAACTTATAGTGTGCGTATATATAATTTTGTGACTCTAACCTATATTTATTGAACATGGATTTAGAAATTAGTGAAGTTTTTGAATCGCGACGAGGAAATACTTGTATTAGTATAAATAATTTTAAACTCACTAAATATCGTGTTTTAAAAAGTGGTGATTTTTATTTTCGTTGTACCAATAAAAAATGCAATGGCTTGTATGTTGTAAATAAACTATACACCAAAGTAATTCAAGTTATAAATGATCATAGTAAACATAGTGAGTATTCAGCAAATGAAATTGAAAAAGAGATGATTCGCAGTGTTGTGAAACGTAAAGCTGAAACAGAGCTGCACATACAACCGAGTAAGATAATAAGACAAACACTTAATTTAAACCAAGGTAATAATCTTAAACATAGTGATATTCATTTACTAAGAAATTCTATGTATGCCGCCAGAAAAAAACAGTTTCCAACTCTTCCAAAAAATATAAATGAAGCAATTAATCAGATTAGGGAAATGCAAGAAAATTTGTTATTTAAAGGCGAACAGTTTATTTATTTAAGTAAAGACGAAAATGTAGTAATTTTAACTTGTCCAAAAAATTTAAGTGTCTTATGCAATGCTCAACACGTTTTTGGAGATGGCACATTTGATTATTGTCCAAAATTGTTTAACCAGTTATACACGATCCATATTTATCAAAATCATTTTTATGTGCCGGTAATTTTTTGTTTTTTGAAGAGTAAGTCAATTTCAACGTATAATACAATGTGGATAACAATTCAGGATCTTTGTGTTCATACGCTTAACCAAGAACTAAATATTAAAGAGTTTCATGTAGATTTTGAAATATCCGCACATAATGCTTTACTAAATCTTTATCCCGATTGTAAAATTGTGTCTTGTACTTTTCATTTAGCTCAAAGTTGGTTTCGGCACATTCAAAGTAACAAACAATTATTACTTGAGTATAATAACAAAAATTCCAATATTGGCAATTGGCTTAAAAGTTTTTTTGGTTTGCCGTATTTACCTCCAGAAGAAGTAAAAGATGCCTTTACACAATTAATATCCGATTGCCCAACGTCAGATTTTTCATTTTCCGACTACGTTCTTGAAACGTA